ATGCCAGGAGGACGCGCCGCGAAACGTCCCAAGGGATGCGCCAGGCGACGTGCCAGGGGACGTGCCATGGGGTCGCACCGTAGGACGTGCCAAAGGGACGCGCTACGGAACGTGCCAGTGGATGTGCCACGGAATGTGCCAGGGGACGCGCCACGCGACGTGCCAGGGGGACTCGCCAAGGGACGCCCCACGGAACGTGCCAAAGACCGTGCCAAGTTGTAATGCTGAGTGTATCGATCTTGATGTACCCTGCCGAGGGCTGTGCTGTGCTGCGCCGTGCTGAACTACGATGTGCCATGCCGCGGTTGTGCTCTATAGCGTCGTGGATCGAGTCCTCCTTTGCATCCGAGTCCTGACCGAACTGATCTGGATCTTAAGCTCGAGCTGCCTGAACACATAGTAGCTGCCCCAGAGCTAATGGACAGGGGAACATGCCAGGAGGACGCGCCGCGAAACGTCCCAAGGGATGCGCCAGGCGACGTGCCAGGGGACGTGCCATGGGGTCGCACCGCGGGACGTGCCAAGGGGACGCGCTACTGAACGTGCTGGGGACGAGCGTTTCGCTCGAGACATCCTATCAAAATCATCCGAATTCCTACGCGCGGGACGCGGCACGCGCGAGACATCCTCGGAATTCCTGTGAGCGGGACACGAAAACAAGCATTGCGCCTGAGACATCCTCTGTATTCTGGCCCCCCACGAGGCCCCCGCTCGAGACATCCCCCAATTTTGCAAAACCAGCGTTTCGCTCGAGACATCCTCAACAAATTATGAAAAACATGCCAGGAGGACGCGCCGCGAAACGTCCCCAGGGACGCGCCAGGCGACGTGCCAAGGGACGTGCCATGGGGTCGCACCGTAGGCCGTGCCAAGGGGACGCGCTACGGGACATCCTCAAAATTCCTGCGCGCGGGACGTGGCACGCGCGAGACATCTTCCGAATTCCTGCGAGCGGGACGTGAAAACAAGCATTTCGCCTGAGACATCCTCTGAATTCTGGCCCCCCACGAGGCCCCCGCTCGAGACATCCCCAAGTTTGCAGAAACCAGCGTTTCGCTCGAGACATCCTCAACAAATTATGAAAAACAAGCGTTTCGCTCGAGACATCCGGTCAAAATTCTAAGAAATCCTGACAAAACAAACGAATTAGTCGAGACATCCTCGAAATTCCTGCGCGCGGGACGCGGCCCGCGCGAGACATCCTTGGAATTCCCGCGAGCGGGACACGAAAACAAGCATTTCGCCTGAGACATCCTCTGAATTCTGGCCCCCCGCTCGAGACATCTCCAAATTTTGCGGAAACCAGCGTTTCGCTCGAGACATCCTCCACAAACTATGTAAAATAAGCGTTTCGCTCGAGACATCCTGCCAAAGTTCTAAGAAATCCTGACAAAACAAGCGAATTAGTCGAGACATCCTCGAAATTCCTGCGCGCGGGACGCGGCACGCGCGAGACATCCTCGGAATTCCTGCGCGCAAATTATGAAAAACAAGCGTTTCGCTCGAGACATCCGGTCAAAATTCTAAGAAATCCTGACAAAACAAACGAATTAGTCGAGACATCCTCGAAATTCCTGCGCGCGGGACGCGGCCCGCGCGAGACATCCTTGGAATTCCCGCGAGCGGGACACGAAAACAAGCATTTCGCCTGAGACATCCTCTGAATTCTGGCCCCCCGCTCGAGACATCTCCAAATTTTGCGGAAACCAGCGTTTCGCTCGAGACATCCTCCACAAACTATGTAAAATAAGCGTTTCGCTCGAGACATCCTGCCCAAGTTCTAAGAAATCCTGACAAAACAAGCGAATTAGTCGAGACATCCTCGAAATTCCTGCGCGCGGGACGCGGCACGCGCGAGACATCCTCGGAATTCCTGCGCGCGGGGCGCTTTTCCGAGTCGCGGTCGGGGCTCCAGACCCCGTTATTTTTTCGAGGATTCTGCGAAAAACGCTCCGCACCCTCTTTTTTACGAGGGAAAGCGGGGGTCTGCGGACCCCGTTATTTATCGAGGATCCGAGATGGGGGGCGAACTTTCCTCGAGCGGGCACGCACAAAACGCACTTTTTCCAAAAAAATCAGCACTTTACCTCGTTATTTATCGCAAATAATTTCGCCGGCGCTTGACCCGTCAGAACCGGGGGTAAACAGCTAAAAGAGAACCCTGGGCCCAAGCCCTTTCCGGGAATTTCCGGGAAAAAACGTCCTAAGCGCATGGCAACTATCAACAGGACAGCTCAATACACAAGAACTCGCTGGGAAGCTCCGCCATACCCTTTCAAGCTTCGCCAGAAACGTCGGACCGCGCTCGGCCCGCACTCCCGCGACTCAAATCACAAGCGGGAAGGCGACGATGTATGCGACGCGGAACACGAACTTGATCGTCCGAAAGACTACATGGTCCTCATCCGCTTCCTCCGCCACTGATCGCACAGGGCCGACCCCGGCAACTCGGGCCTTCGGTGGAGCTCTTTATGGGCCCACAGAAACATCAAGCGTGCGCAAACATGCACCCGACGCGCCATGCAAACCCTGCCACTGGTACCTTCAGTAGTGCTCCCTGTGGGGTGCACCGACATGGAGCGGGTAACCATGCGGACCCTGCCACTTCGGCAGAGCTCCCTATGCGGCCACGAAACGTGCGAATGGTGCGCCGAAATTGGGCGGGTAACCACGCGGGCCCTGCCACTCCGGCATTCGGTGGAGTTCCGTGCGTGTGTGTGTGATCACGAAACATGTCAGCTTGCGCCGAACTGGGGCGGGTATCATGCGGGCCCTGACACTGGGGCAGTTGGTGGGGCTCCCTGTGGGGCCACGAGACGTGTGGGAGGTGCGCCGAAATGGGGCGGGTAGCCATGCAGCCCTGCCACTGGAGCCTTTGGCGGAACTCCCCTATGGAGCTACAAAACGTGTGAGGGGTGCGCTGGTAACCATGTGGGCCCTGCCACTCGGGCCTTCGGTGGAGTTACACATTGACCACGAAAAGTTAAGAGATGCGCCGGACTGGGGCGGGTAACCATGCGGGCCTGCCACTGGGGCCTTGGCGGGACCCCGTATGCGGCCATTAAACGTGTGAGGGGTCCGCCGAAATTGGGCGGGTAACCGTGCGGGCCCTGCCACTCGGGCCTTCGGTGTAGCTCCTTATGGGTGGCGCGAAATGTGTGAGGGGTGCGCCAAGGGGTTAACGATGATGATGACGAAGACGACGGTGATACGAGTGATGATGATAGCGGTGGTAGTGGGAAGAGAGAAGGAGAGGATGAGTGGAAAGTGGAAGCGGGCATGGAGATGATGATGCTGAAGACGACAACGGCGACGGCGACGACGACGACAACAATGACGACGACCGCGATGATGACAAAGATGATGACAAGGATGAAGAGGACGAGGAGAGGAGGAGAGAAGTAGGTGGTGAGTCGCGCGGCGCTATGAAATAAAAACGAGTGCCCAACACACAGGAGGGTTTGAAAAGGCATTGAAAACGTTAGGACCAACATTGCTGCTCGCTTCAAGGACGTCTCGGCGCAGATCGCATCGGAAAACTTCAGGAGAGCCCCAGCAAGCTCTCAATACGGCATCAAGGCGTGCCGCCGAGAGCCCAGAGACGGCACCAAGGCTGAGAGTTCCTCAAGACGCCCCCAAGAGGACCACAAGACGGCCCAAGACACGCGCACACGTTCCCAAGATGGTTCACCCGAACTCTTCGGGAGAGCTGGGTAGAACAATCGCGTCCAGAAACCGCTACGAGACCCTCGACTGGCTCCCAACGAGCACGTGAAGGCCGCCAGGATGGCCGAAAGAAGCCCCCAAGAGGCCCCGAAAGAGCCGCCAAGACGCCTTCGAGAGAACGAAAGAGAGGGAAGACGAGGCTGCGGACAAGGAGAGTGTGCTCGAAAACCCGAGCCAGTTCAGACATGGCACTGAACTGGAAAGGATCGTCACCCCAGCCTCCTTCCTGCTGCGCTGCTGCGCTGAGTCTGTTGCGGATTTGCCTCGGGCGGCTGGATATGCTTCACAGAGTCGCTGCCTGGGACCCACGCGCTAGCATCATGCTACACCATGGCGGGTGGTGAAACGCGGCAAAGATGCCTTGAAAGTGGTGAGGCCGAAAAAGAATACGCCGAGTGCATCTAGACGGCGTGGAGAAGGGCGAGGGCGGCGCACCGCCTGGAACATCCACATCGCAGGCTGCGGAAGTCCTACCTGGATCCCTGCGGAACTGCGGATATGAATCACTAATCCCCCGCCCTCAGGACGAGGGCAAACATCCATGTGCACCACTGCTCGAGGGGTCCTCGAGGTGCAGGGGCACGACTCTGGAGCCGCCAATGTGAGTACACTCTGCGAGGGCGGCGGCAACGGGGTGCGCTGTCTCGGCGCGCTCGTTGCGCAGAACGCGCAGAGGACGGCTTCGCGAGGAGAGCCGCCACAGATCTAAATACTAACTACGTCGAGCTGGAAGACTTTTTTGAAAAATTGGTAGGTCACGTCGGAGCTGGGCATGTCCATGACGCTTCAGCTGGGTTGGGCACGTCGGAGCTGCGATCGCCATGATTAGTATGCTCTCGAGCTGGAATACTAACTAACTAATTCCCTTGCGTTTCTAAGAAGTTGGAGGAATGTCCCGAGGGTTCGCGACGTTCTGGTTTGTGTCGCTCCGTTGCCGCCGGTTGCCGCCTGTGGGGGTGTCCCGAGGAGTCGCCATGCTCTTGCCCGTTGCGGTCCGTTGCCGCCCGCTGCCGCCTCGGGGGGGATGTCAAGGGTTCGACGCGTTGCCGCGTGGTGCTGCCTCGGCAATTCGCCACGTGGCCACCCGTTGCTGCCTCGGTGCCGCCACACCGCATGGCTTGCACTCCGAAGATGCAATAACTCACTGTTTGGGGTTCACGCTGGCAGGCGTTGAAAAGGGAGAACTGGTGCGGCCTGGCACGCAGCGCCGCTCGCCTTCGCGGCGGCGGCGGAGTCCCTGCCAGGGGAGCCCTGCCGGGCGGAGAGGTGCCCCATCAAGGGGAGTCGTCCCTCTCGCAAGGCGACGAGACCTGGTCGGGCGTCACGGGGTCCGAGGACGAGTCGGCGTCGGCGTCCGCGCCCTCGGCCTCCCTCTTCTTCGGCGCCGGGGCGGCCACGCTCTTCTTCGGCGGGCCGCGCGAGGCCTTGCTGCCCGTCCGCGCGTGGGGCTCTGGGGCCTCTGGGCGTTGGCTACGCTGGACGGGGTATTATATATCACGGCGGGGTAATTGACCTTCCGAAGGAGTCTGGCCGTCCCCCCACTCCCTCCCTCCCCGTCCCTCCCTCCCTCCCTCCCTCCCTCCCTCCCTCCCTCCCTCCTCCTCCTCCTCCTCCTCCTCCATCCTCCTCTCCTCCTCCTCCTCCTCCTCCTCCTCCTCCTCCTCCTCCTCCCTCTCCTCCTCCTCCTCCTCCTCCTCCTCCTCCTCCTCCTCCTCCTCCTCCTCCTCCTGCTCCTGCTCCTGCTCTGCTGCTCCTCTCCTCTCCTCCTCCTCCTCCTCCTCCTACTCCTCCTCCTCCTCCTGCTCCTCTCTTCTCTCCTCCTCCTCCTCCTCCTCCTCTCCTCCTCCTCCTCCTCCTCCTCCTCCTCCACCGCTCCTCCGCCTCCTCCCTCCTCCTCCTCCTCCTCCTCCTCCTCCTCCTCCTCCCTCCTCCCTCCTCCCTCCCTCCCCTCCCTCCCTCCCTCTCTCCCTCCCTCCTCCCTCCCTCGCCCGTCCCTCCCTCACTCCCTCCTCCTCCTCCTCCTCCCCTCTCCTCCTCTCCTCCTCCTCCTCTCTCCTCCTCGGCTCCTGCTCCTGCTCCTCCTCCTCCTCCTCCTCCTCTCCTCCTGCTCCCCTCCTCCTCCTCCACCTCCTCCTCCTCCTCCTCCTCCTCCTCCCGCACCCCCGATTCGGGACGAAGCTCTGCCACCATGTCGATTGAAATTGCATCTTCTTGCCAATGGAAATTGCCAAACTCTCCTCCTGTCTATCTTCCTGTCTTCCTCCTCCTCCCCTCCCCCTCCTCCTTCAACCCACTCTCCGCCCGTTCCGACAGAACGTGAGCCCCCCCATCCCCCCCCAGATCCAGGGGGGGATTATTGTCCCATCCAGAATGAACCTTAGGCTTAGGCCTCCCAAATGAGGTCCGAGCAGATGGGGTCGGAGGATCGCGCCACATCGGCGATGCATCGGCGATGCATCGGCGACGTCGGCGATACATCGGCGACGTCGATGTGGACTGGGGCTCGACATCGAGCCGCATCGCCGATGCATCGGCGACGCGGCGCGAACCTCCGACACCATCTGCTCGGACCCCATCTGAGAGACCTACAACCCTCTGGATTAAAAAGTTGTGACCGGCACTATGCGAGAGAGCGATCCCCGCGGGTTTCGCCGGTCGACTGGCCCTCGAGCCTCCACCATCGATGAACCCCGAGATGACTCCAAGGCAGGCCCGTGAACCGAATGACGGAACGGCTCCGCAGGGCGTGGAGCTCTGCAGCACAAAGTTATGGAAATCATCGCACACGAAATCTTTGTCTTCTGGCGGCATGGAAGGCAACCTGAAAGTGCTGTTTGCGGACGTCTTAAGAAAAAAGAAAAAAAAAAAAAAAAAGAAAAAAACAAAAAAAAAAAAAAAAAAAATCGAAACGACCCTCACTCCTCATGCGGCAATGAACATCTGGAGCAGGTGCGGCTGTGATGAAAACGAAATAAAAGCAAGAAAGATACAAAGATAGTCCTAGGCGAAATCGCCACTTTCAGACTGCCATGGAGATTTCAGATCGCCCTGGAAGGCGATCTGAATACTTTTTTGAAGAAAGGAGTTAAGAAAAACAAAGTAAAGCAAAAAAAAGTAAAATCAGAGATGGTAATGAACGAGGGGGTACGACGAACGAAAGCAAAAAAGATTGAAAGAAATAATAAAGAAGAAAGATAAAAAAAAATGCAAGGGAAAATATAAGAAAGGAAATGAAGTAGGTCCTAGGCGGAATGCCACTTTCAGACGCCGGCCCCATTTGGCCTTTATAATATTAAAGGGGGTGAGGTATGCGTCTAAAACTCCCAATTCGGCATCAAATCTAACATTGTCCTGGGCCCCATGGCCTAACGGGTGGCCAACAGCGTCTCTCTCTCTCTCTCGAACCCCGCCGTCCCAACTTTTTGATCAAGCGGGTTGTAGGTAAGGGGGGGGCGCCCAGCGCCGATCCAAGAAATCCGCGCGGCGCTCCGAAAAACTATATGCATGCCGTGTGTTGTCCTCTGGTTATTTGGGAAACGGCCCAATGTACCCCCAGGACGACGTAATACCCCCAGTGAGGTGTCGCAGCGGTCACAACGCAGCCGTTTAGCGCCCCGGGGTGGGCCCTGAGGCCCCCTCTCCAGGGCACGTGTGTTCTGAGGTACGCTTGGCCTTCCCAGAAATATCGCCCCCACACTGCGCATCGGCCTGTGGATCGGTCATCTTCCGGGCGTTGCTCTTCGACCGCGCCTCGTGCTCCGAGAGCTCGTCGCCACAAGACTGCGCGCGGGTGCTCTTCCGGGCCTGCCCGCGGGGTTCATCGCCGGGTGCGGCGCCGCCGGCGGCCGGGAGGAAGGCGTCCGCCCTTTGGCGCGAGGCCTGGGGCAGGGCTCGACGTAAACAATGTGTTTAGAAGTTCCCCAAATGGGGTCTGAGCTGATGGGGTCAAAAGATCGCGCCGCATGGCCGATGTACCAGCGATTTCTCGGCGTGGAGAAAATTGGGTTCCGCATCGAAACGCATCGCCGATGCATCGGCGATGCGGCGCGACGTTCCGACCCCATCTTCTCGGACACCACACTGGAGGCCTACACTTGTCCGTTATCGTTTTGTTCTCGTGGTCCTTAGGGGTTGTGTTCGTTTCGCCCTGCGGCGCAACAAACTATCCGGGAGAAGGACCCAACTCTATGCAAATGTGAAGACCGTCGTAGAAGGTACCGCTTTCGGTGGATCTTACGGGGCCACGAAGCGTGTGAGATACGCGACGAAGTCGTGCTGCGCCGCCACGCGGGCGCTGCCAGCTTGCGGTTTCAGGCCGAACTTCCTATGAAACCACGAAGCGTTTGACGAGCGTGCCGAAATTGGGCGGGGCCGCCATGCAGGCGCTGCCCATGGGGCCATGCGTGGAGTTCCCTGTGGACCACGAAACGTGGCGCGCGGCATGCGGGCCCTGGCAGTGGAGCCTTCGGTGGAACTCCTGATGGGGCTGCAAAGCGCGTTCGGGGAAAACGATGACGATGATGACGACGACGACGACGACGACGCGCAGGGTCGAGGCAGGGATGGGGAAATGGATGAAGAGAAAGGAAGAAGAAGGCGGAGGAAAACTAACTGCGAGCATCGCGATGCAATTGGGATGAAGGAGGGGGGCCAAAAACAGGGTTGCGGCGGGGACGGGGGCAAAGGATGGGAGGCGTTTCTCCTCTTCTGTTTGCGTCGCGCGTTGCGTCCGCGCCGGCTGCCCCACGGTGCCCTGATACCCCGGCGACGCCTTTTCGTACCCACGCTCTTGACCCATGTTCTCTGTTTTTGCCTCTCCGCCCCGACGGCCACGGCCCCAGACAGAGTGCAACGCAGAGTCCCCGCGACGCGCGCTGGTCGCCTGGAAGGGGTCCCAGCGACGCGCGCGGGTCGTCTGCGGCGCAACGCAAACAGAAAAAAGGCGGATGACAACGGGCGAGACGCTGGGCAAAGCGCGCGGGAAGCGGGCAGATCCTGGAGGCTCGGCGCAGGGGAGTCCCCGCGACGCGCGCTGACCGCCCCGAGAGGATTCCAGGGACGCGCGTTGGCGAGAACCGTCGCCTCCCTCATGCACCGCCTCGGGCGCGCGGCAAACTGCTCCAGCTGTTTCCGCAAGCCCTCCGACGGCCCTGTCAGGAAAATCTCGATGCGCAGCGCCCGGGCAGCGGCGTGCGCTCTCCGTCATCGTCGTCGTCGTCGTCGTCGTCATCGTCGCCGCCGTCCTGTGGGACACCGCAGAACGATCCAGAGCCGCCGCCAGACGCTGAGCCCCGAATCCGTTAAAGAAACGCATGAAGGGTGCCCTGAAATTGGTAAAGTCGTGCGCGCCGCAGCACCACCCCGCCAGGGACCTTAGTTGGAGCTACCCATGGAGTCACTAAACCAGTGAGGGGTGTGCCGAAATCGGTGGTGGGGACGCTTGCGAATTGCGCCACTGGGGCCGTAGATGGAGCTCCTTGTGGGGCCACGAATCGCGTGATGGATGTGACGAAATGACAGGCGGGGCGCATATTGTTTTAACACGAAGAATCCACCGATCCGGCGTGTGAGTTTAAGAAAGCTACAACCTGACTTTCAGCTCTGCTGGGGGGGCGCCGGGGGGGCGGGTATGAGGAGGCCGCGGCTTGCGTTCGTCGAGGCGACCCCGCCCTGCGCTGAAAAGGGCGCGCGGGACAGCCGCGGGGCAGCCGCGGGGCAGCCGAAGCAAAGCGGGCTCTTGGGCGGCATCGCCGCGGGACGCCGCGACATAGCCGCAGCAGCACGACTGAGGACGGCTCACAGCTGCAGCACTGCTGTAGCACAGCGACGGGGTAGCATGTCGGCGACACAGGGACGATCTTCCACGAAGGGGATATCCATAGGAACTACATCCTTGACAGGAACAGACACGGTCACGGACCTGGCGGACACAGAAAAGGAAAGCAACGTGGAGGGCGAACGACAAGAGAGCGCCGAAACGGCACAATATGCACACGCAAGTCCGGGCATATATAACTCGGTGTGAAACGGCAGGTGCATGTGCAATTGAATGCATGCCCTGGTTGTTGAACAGGTGTGGGAAATTCCGGGGCATGTGATCTCTTACAAACATCAGTAAGAACAGGCGTCGGTAGGTCGAAACGGCGAGACACACATGGCCAATAATTGGAGGGCAGTGTGGAAACGCGTGCGCGCGCGAGAAAACGCGCGCAACTGAACACGCACACGCGAGAACGCGTGCGTGAATACAATGGCGCGCACATGAACTTTCACTGGAAGCGATCGGCGTGAATGGACTCAGGGAATCGCTTTGCCCCCCCATGCGTCGCCCTCTTCCTAACACCATGGGTCTGAAGCTCTTCCCCCGCGATGGGCTAGAGCGCCTAAGATGGCCCAAAATGGCTCCGCGACGGCCCCAGAAAGCCCATGATGACCTCAAATATGACTCATGAGCACCCAACGTCGTTCAAGATACCTTCCAATTTGCCTCCGAGATGCCCCGCGGCCGCCCCGAGGCGGCTCCAAGTGGCCACGGCGCTCCCCCAGGAGGCCCCCGGGAAGCCCAACTCCTTGAATGACAATACTATGAGCAAGTTGGTGTCGCCTTCTCGTTGTTCCGAGCAGTGTCCGCAGGCAGCAATGCAACTATAATGATGATACCGACTGTGTGGGGCCGGACGGAGTGCCGCGTGCCGCTGGTATTGGCGACCGAAAACACATGTTCAAGTGTAATATGACAGCGCCAGACTGCGCCGGGACAGCCGCGGGACAGCCACGGGACAGCCGCGGGGCAGCCACGGGGCAGCCGCGGGACAGCCGCGGGACAGCCGCGGGACAGCCGAAGCAAAGCGGGCCGTCGGGCAATAAAGCTGCGGCCCGGGCCAGTAAAGCCGCGGCCCGCCGCGGGACAGCCGCGGGACAGCCGCGGGACAGCCGCGGGACAGCCGCGGGACAGCCGCGGGACAGCCGAGGCGCAGGCGAGGCAAACATGAGGCCAAAATGCTATGGGAGCACTGGGAATGGCCTTCAATCGAGTTGTCTGGCATTGAAGATTATCCATGGTTCGGATGACGAGGAAGGGAGCGAAGGAGGTAGGAGGGGGGCGAAGGAGGGAAGAGGGAGGAGGGAGGAGCGAGGAGGGAGGGAGGAGGGAGGATGAGGGAGGAACGAGGAGAGAGGGACGAGAAGGGAGGAGGGAGGACCAAGGAAGGATGAAGGGTGGAGGAGCCATGGCAAAGAAACGAATGAGTGAACCCGACGTCGGGGTCACATAAGCCCCCGCCATCAAAGTGCATATTGGGGCTGGTCTTGTGGGGGGTGATTGCCGTGGGAGGGAGTCCAAGGGCGCGGGATGAGCGGGAAGGTTTTTTGCTGATGATTTCTATGTGCTTGTATTGCAATAAAACGAACTGTCATTTTCCCGCACAACCAAAATAGCAACAAACGAACGGGGGAAAGGCGCGCGCCACCTGCATCTTACGGGCGATCCCGCTGGACGCCCGTGAGCGCGAAAACCGCGAAGAGACCCGGACCGACGAAAAGCGCGAGAGACCCCTAACCTTGCAAGATCTTGCAGTGCCCACCCAATCGGCCAGGGCAGACGAAGGCGCCCGTGCGGGGCGCGCGCATCATCACAGCGACAACAAAAAACACGCCATGTCCTGAAGCTCGCAGAACGCATCATGGAGCGATGGCGCACGCACAGATCCGCAGTCGAACCGGGTTGAAGCTCGCACGGGCTGCGCTAGAGCAGACCGGCGCGCCCGACACTCAAACGCGCCGAAGCTCTAGCTACTCGCGCACGCAGAAAAGCTGCTCGCTCAATGAAAAAAGCCACGCTCGCAGGAAAGCTGCTCGCCCACAGAGCACGGCTACATTTCGGCTTTTCTTGGACGGGATAATGCGAAGGGGGGGGGTCAGTTTAAGCCGCGGCCTCCTCATGCGGTAGGGTGGGGGGGGGGGGGGGGGGGTGGGGGGGGGGGAAGGGGGGACGGGGGGTCCATCGGGTCCCCCCCTTTCTCCCCCCCCCACCCCGGGAAATCCCAACCGCCCAAAATTAGCCTGGCAAAGGACCCAACCATATGCAACTGTGAATACCGCAAGTGTGAATATCGTTTTCGGCGGCGCTACCTCTGGGTAGTGGAGACGCATGCGAACACCCCCACTGGGGCCTTCAGTGGAGCTCCCTATGGGGCTACGAAACGCTGCCCTGGGTGGGGGAACCGCATGCGAACACCCCCACTGGGGCCTTCGGTGGAGCTCCCTATGGGGCCACGAAACGCTGCCCTGGGTGGGGGAACCGCATGCGAACACCCCCACTGGGGCCTACGGTGGAGCTCCCTATGGGGCTACGAAACGCTGCCCTGGGTGGGGGAACCGCATGCGAACACCCCCACTGGGGCCTTCGGTGGAGCTCCCTATTGGGCTACGAAACGCTGCCCTGGGTGGGGGAACCGCATGCGAACACCCCCACTGGGGCCTTCGGTGGAGCTCCCTATGGGGCCACGAAACGCTGCCCTGGGTGGTGGAACCGCATGCGAACACCCCCACTGGGGCCTACGGTGGAGCTCCCTATGGGGCTACGACACGCTGCCCTGGGTGGGGGAACCGCATGTGGACACCCCCACTGGGGCCTTCGGTGGAGCTCCCTCTGGGGCTACGAAACGCTGCCCTGGGTGGGGGAACCGCATGCGGACACCCCCACTGGGGCCTTCGGTGGAGCTCCCTCTGGGGCTACGAAACGCTGCCCTGGGTGGGGGAACCGCATGTGGACACCCCCACTGGGGCCTTCGGTGGAGCTCCCTATGGGGCCACGAAACGCTGCCCTGGGTGTGGGAACCGCATGTGGACACCCCCACTGGGGCCTTCGGTGGAGCTCC